TGTTAATTAAGTAATGAATATAAAACTATTAATACATTCAATAGACCATTAAATGACCACCAGGTGGTAATTCAAGCGTAATTCTCTGACCTTAAAACACCAACATGTAGATAATTAAACTACATATACAATCCTCCGAAAGGACCACAAAAAAAACCCCATAGAGTGCCACTAAATTTATTAAGCATCTTTAAATGAATTTTGATGGCACCATAATGGTGGTAGAAAAGGCTAATTGGGGTAGAAATGCCTTAGTTAAATTGTGCAGGCGTAGCTGGCGGCAGAAAAAGAAAGGTCTTAGCTAAAATAGAAGGAAGAAGCAAACTGTCGCTTCTTCCAGTCTTATCACACCAATGATTTACAGCAGCTTGCACTTGCATCACTGCCAGAACATTATGATGAGGGTTGTTCGGTAGTTATATAATAACATGTTATGGATTCAGTGAGAGGAAAAAAAAGAAGACAGAGAGAAATGCATCTTTGTTTTTAATGTTTGAAACATTAGCGCAGTCGAAGTGACACAAGACATTGCTGTAACTGCTCGGGTTCTGCAAACTCTTCTTTATTTGTCAAAATATCTTCTCTTAATACTTTTGGCTGCTCCCTTATTTCCCCAAGGGGTAACTACAGTAGATGGATCAGTATGTTTGAATTTTTTTTACACTGGATACCCTTCCTGATGCAACCTTCCTATTTCTCTGAGATTGGGACTAGCCCGAGAAGTGTGCTAGCTTGTGGCCCCCTGAGTCTGGATCTGTCTCCTCCCACTCTCAAACAGGAGATTTTTTATGTATAAGGAGAATGTGTTAACCACTACACCATGGAGTCACAAACTTTTCTTTTCTTTTTTTTTTCTTTTTTTTTGTGAAGATATTAAGTAAAGACTCTTGATCTGGAGTGGGGACTGCTGGGTGAGAGTTAACCAGAAATAAACATGGCATATTTTGCTGTATAACCTGAGGTCTGAAATCCATCATCACTGTCATTGTCACCCCCACCCCTAAGGGAACAACAGCTATTGTCCTTACACCACTGTTTTGTTTTTTCAGTTTATCTACAAACCTGCAGTCTACAGGAAGCCACATAATTTGCCACATAATGTCAGGTTTTCACATAGAGTGGGTGGAATAACTTAATGCTGTCAAGTCCTGATATCACACAGATACTTCTGATCCTATAATCTCTGAAAAGCAAGAAACTAAATGAAAAAGTGAGATATCCTGATATCCCTGGCATTATAGAATGATGGAAAGAAGAAAGGGAAGGTGTTTCATTACCACAGGGTGCTCTTGGCAAGGTTGCTTATTCTCAGTGGTTTATATCAACTTTTAAAAAAGAAGATTATTTGAATCCCCTGGAATAGTATTCTCTGTTTGAAACAGAAGTTTCACCCAGGATCCAGCTGGCAGTTTAGCAGAAATGGTATAGCAGCAAAGAGATACTATTTGAGGTTAATTGGGCCATAGTGGCAAGTGGTCAACTCAGATTAATTCAACAGGGAAATAGTGTGTTACTTTTGCTCTGCTGCAGGATCAGTATGAGCAAAACTAGGCACAGCATGAAAGTCAGCATGCTGCCCTGCAAATGTCATTTTCTGAAATCTGTGTAACAAAGTATCAGATATTGTAGAAACTTGTATTTAGAAGCAATCTGTGGGATACGAGCACATATCAGGCAACAGCTTTATAATATTCTGCTTCATTACTCAATGGGATTGCAGTTATGTGATCAGAAAACAAAAAAAAGAACCATCATGATTCCTAAAGTGTTGTGTTGTTTTACATAGCACTGTAAATAAATGTGTTTGTGTCTGTTTTTATTTCCTGTTATGGATCTGTGTATGGTTATATATCATGAGCATTATTGGAAAACTCTATTATATCAGTTTATACTCCACTGTCGGAGATAAACAGGAGCTCAAGTGTTATATAAAGATCCTTTTAATACCTTCTGTCTGTGTAAGTGTGAGAAGGAGGTTCCCTAAAGAAGGTGTGTATTTATTTGCGTTTGTGGAGTGAAGTTGAAGCTTTACCTGCATTGAGTAAAAAGTCAATAGTGTTTCAAAATTGAAGCATGAATATATTTAAATTTTTTCCTCCTTTTGCTCTTGAATTTTAATTCCAAGTACACATTCAAAGCAGCTACAAGTATGAATGTCCTTGCATACTAGAGCCATTCTTTCATGTTTTATTTTTGAGTGACAGTAACTGAACTGTTTTTGATTCAGTCTGTCTGTTTTGCTCTTTAGTTATTACTGTCTCTATAGAAGTGATGCATATGTTTGGTGAAGACAAACATGAAAGACTGGTCCGGTCAAACATTCAGGTATGTGTCAGGAGTTAGGAATTTACAGGAGAAAAAAAATTTAAACTTCTATCTTACTGCCTGTTTTCCAAGAACAACATTAACTATTTTTCCGTATTTGAGCTGAAATCAGAAAGACAAATGTGGAAAAAAGGCAAAAGCAAATGCATTTCTGAGTTGCAAATGTTTTGGAGCTGGTTACATCCCTGGACACCATCCAACATCAGCTTCAGGTGAACCGATTCTGTCTGGTAAGCAGCACAGGGGGGCTGACAGATTATTTCATTAAAACTGTTCAGCTGCAGTAGAAGTAAAAACTTGCCACTTGTTTGTTTCCAAAAACACAGCAAAGCAGCATGGTGGAAAACCCCAAGGAGCACTGAATGCAGTCTGTTTATAAAACAGCACTGAGTCTGCTGTGTGTCAATATTTCCAAAATGTATGTGGATGTTTTCTGAATTAATTAATAAGCAAGTTGTTCAAATTCTCTGCAAAAATCTCTGAATGGGCAACAGGTGCACTGGAAGAAAAGCTCCAAAGAACAAATATAATTCCAACACACTCTCTCACTTACTGCTGATACGTGTATTTAAAAAGGTAGCGTACAAAGACCGTGTCCATATATTCACACACACACAATCAAGCCATACTGGTTGATTAATACATTTATACACCATTAATCAGACGAAAACATCAGTTTAACAATGCTAATCATAAATACACATAGCCTTTTTTCTGCATAGGTCAAAGGTAGCAACAAACAATATAAACCCAATGGCAATCCCACATTGACTAAATCTATTAGCTGTAAGCAATGTGAGCAGGAGGTATATTCAACCATTTTGTGTATTAATTAATAAAAACGGGCTGTTTTTCTGTGCAACATGATCCCTATTTACATATTTATTTTAAATTAAAGCAGCAAGTTAATGATTAAGTAAGGGAAAATATACTATATGCACATATAGATACTAAATGTGACCTTTTAGTTCTGTGTGCAGTTTAAGAGTTAGAAAATGCATATACTCAATATTAAGCTTCTGCCTCATTCTATTTATGAGGAATTTCACCTTCACCTCCATGCACCTAGCTGCTATTTAGTTTTATGTATTACGGTTTGAGTTCACTTTTATCATTAAAATCCTTTATAAAACTAACTTTTTCACTTTCGTGCTTCACTCTTTTGTAGACTCTGTGCCTTGAAGCAGCAGCTCTATGTTGCTACATAACTCAGCTCTGAATATCTCCCCTTCCAACCATTTCACACCCTTTCTGTTGCTTAGACTGTGCTTCAGAGGACACAGATACAACACACAGCTGCTACAAATGGATCCCAAACTTCATGAAAAAGGCAGGGATGCATCTGCACAAGGCTGGAGACGCAAACAGAATAGTAATATATTACATTGATATTTTTGCTTTAGAAATCTATCCACTCCTACATATTTAAACAAACTTTGACCATGACACTGAAAGAGACAAATATCTTTGCATTCCACCCCACATCCGGTTTTTTATTGTAGCGACACTGAGGAAACGTGATCTAATGTTCAGGTGTGCGTACAAAAAACACTCGACATGTAGAGAATTCACACTCAACCTTGATTAGTCATTTTGCTTAAAGTAGAAGTTAAATTTGTAACGCACAACAGGAAACTTACTTTATGGCTTTAGAAGCAGCTGAGAACAGCTTTAAAGTCAAAGTGCTGGCTCTAAGAGATCTGAGCCACCATACACATTAATTCGGGCCCAGAATAGATTAAGTTCCGGTTTATTTGGTTCATTTTTGGGTAACAAGAAAATTGCTACAGCTTGTTTGTCATCCAGATCTGGCAAATGGAAGGGGGCTATGGCTGCATTATTCCACACAGTATGTGGTGTGTGCTGCCTAGGATGGGGTGGTGAAAAGAATGAGCACAAAAATATAACCCAGATTTAAGCAGCACACAAAATAATTTCATGAAATTAACTTTGTGAGTCACCATGGCTGCAACAAGTCTTTCCCACCCATCTTCATCACTTTTTAATTTCCTCTAACTCTTTTTTCCTCGCCTAAATGTTCCACATATTATATAAAATATTTTTCGCAAGTTGCTTAGTGTCAAACTTTTCGGGCAGATTTGCAAGATATTATGAAGCTACACGTCATCATGGGCTCAAGTTTCAATAGGCTCAACCACAGTTTACCTTTTGCACGCACTTATAATGAAACCCACGTTGAAATGATCCCCTGCCTGAAATATTTGGGATGTTCCTTTAAAAGATAAACGTATATAGAATTATGATCTTGTGCATGACGTCAGAGGGTTGATTAAATATTTATACCTGGTAGTCTAAGTGCATATATCTTCACAACTTCATTATGAAAGGGAGAGGCATCACAATCCCCACGAAGGCAAGCAGAACGCTCGCGCTACAAAGAGTTTCAGAGACACCGAGGACGCCTTGGACTTTTTCTTCTCTCACACAATTGACACAAGAGAAAAAGAGAAGGAGGGTAATGATGGGCGTCGAATTCCTTCGGTATACGTTTCGAGACAGTGCCATCAGTAATTGATCCAAATGACTCTCTTCAAACTACTTAAGAACAAGTTGTTTAAAGGAGTGACCCATTTTTTCTCTCTCTGCTGTGATCATATTCGGCTGAGCAGCCTATGAAAAGAAATAACACGACTTGTGCGCAGCTGATGCCTCCAAGAAACCACCCCTATCCTCATATGCCAGCCTGTCTGACTTTGGAACCCACATTACTACCGGACTCCGACCGCAGACCAACAGAGGAGGCAAGCTCCATGGAAAATCATGCAGGACTTTGAACCCATGGAGACATGGCACATAGGTTCCTTTCATCTGCGAACAGATTCAGCGCCAGATTCGCCTTCATATTCACCGTGTCACTGTCTTGCACCTATTTATGCTATAATATCATTTTTTGTCGCGGCACAATCATGACAAATCAGGGCTACGAGGGGAAACGGTGTCCGCCAGGCAAGAACGCAGGAGGGAAGAAACTTCTTGGAAAATTGGACCACTGCGCTTTGCTGAAAGCCAGGTCCACACTGGATGAGTCTGCTGCCCAGCGAGGAGCAAGCGATCTCCGCGAACAAAGTAAAGCCCCCTCTTCTGACAGTCACTGGACTGACGCGAAGTTGAAAAACATGAGTGTTGCGCAAAAATATGGGAACAAGAAGCTGCCCAACGCGCTAATAGTCGGTGTAAAGAAAGGAGGAACCAGGGCGGTGTTGGAGTTCATCCGGATACATCCAGATGTGCGCGCACTTGGAACAGAGCCGCACTTTTTCGACAGAAACTATGACAGAGGATTAGATTGGTACAGGTGAGAAAAACGAAGCAAACACTGAAAACTAATTGTTCTTTCACTAAGATAAGCACGTTTACATTGTTGTCATCGATATGGCTAAATATCGCACATCTTTCATTTTGTCTTTATGACTTGGTTTATGATACGGGAGCTCTTCCAGGTCCATTAAAGTGGATTTCTGGAAAGCAAAATTGCGTAATTAAAGCACTTATCATTTACTCTCTGTTAAATAAGCTAAAATTTATTTGAATGAGCTTAGTTGATGGGACTACAACACACACAAACACATACACATGTTGGGTATTACAAACACAGCTTCTAAGGACATACACTGGCTCTACTTTTTACAAGGTGTAATGTTGTGTTTTTTCAGCCATGCACATGTTAGCTGTCACAGCTCCATGGTGCTGAGCAGACAGCGCCATGAGGCTGATGTAGACTGATGCAGTTCACACACATACACACACATCACAGTCAACACCACAGTTGACAAAGGCAGCCCGCAGCTCCTTTCAAACAGGCTGCACCAGAGCACAGAATGTTCTTGCATTGGCAGGTGAAAGGACCCACAAGCGCAACAAGCCCAGGGCTCATCTCTGCCTACAGGTGTGTTGTGTTCACTAGATTCCCATCTGCATGGCCTTTTATAAGTCTGACACGACACCTTTCTGACTTGTTTTTAACCCACAGAGCATTTCCAAATCTTAAACTCTAAGAAACAAATTGATTATATAGCAGAAAGTAAAAAGAACACTAATTGCCATGAAAGCGTGAAGTCTGCGAGTGTTTCCCCAAAACAGCTTGATGGTTGTTGTCTCACATCACATCGCAGTGTTGAAGCTCATCTTCCCAAAAACGTACCTACTATGGCATCAGCACTGTGCATGCCATTGCTTGCAAAACAGGGAGGAAGTCTGTTCTCAGGCTGCACTGCAGGAATGAACACCACGGACTGCAGCAAATTATCATGTATATGAGTATCTGTCCATCACGGCTCAGTTCATGTTTTCTCAGATGTCTTCAGACATGCAGTTTGAGACATTTTTTGGCTTTTAGCAGCAAGATTAAAGCACATTCAGAAAATCTGCATGCTAAAGTTTTGGACAATAAAATCTCTTGTTTAACTTGAATTTGAGCTGCTAAAAGCTGTAAGATTGATTGATTGGCAGCTAATTCTTAAAATAACTCATGTTAACATCTTTTAACTTGAAATTTTCACATCTCTGGAATTAACTTGTAATTTTAATGGTACTACAACTACTATTACTACTACACCAACATTTTTATTTTTTATTTTTTACAGTACATCCAATTTACTATTAGGTCATCATTTCACACCAGATTTTTTTTCCCTTCCTAAAATTAAAGTTGTGTATAAAGTTGCAAAATAAAAAAATATAGCCCTTACCAAAAATGATTTTTGATGAAAATATTCATCATCTGTGGATTCCACATAGAATATGTTGGAACTCCATATTTATAATACATGTGTTTTTCTTGAATACTGTATGAACAAATTATACTGATGCAAACATAAGAGAACCGCCAACACACACACACATACACACACATGCACACACCTACACACACACGCACACACACACACACACACACACACACACACACACACAC